GCGTCATGGCCAAAAATGAAGCTCTGTATGCTTTCGTCTATGTGTTCTTACAGTGCGCGGTTATGATGGTGTCACCGGGTACCTTGTGTTTTTGCGGCAGTGGGTTTACGCAAACTGACATGTTTTTACAGCGAATGGCTTTGCCGGTTTTGCAGTGTTCTTTGTCTGTTTACTTGTGTGACACGAGTACGTGCTTTCAAATCCAGCGGTGGGCAATGGTAGCCAGAAATTCAAACGAAAGCTGACAAACAAACACGTGAAAGGGCACACCAACACAGGAGCCGGGCAGGGAACACATTGTCCAGGACTGAAAACACCCAAACCTGGGAACCAAAAACACCAACACAGGAAAAACAGCAATCCAGGAACTGAAAACACACAGACCTGGGGGGGAGAACTCCGGGAAGGGAAAACACCAAGAGTGGGAACCAAAAAAACCAATACAGAAGGCGGGAAGGAAAAACACCAATCCAGGAACTGGAAACACCAAGACCTGGGAACCAGAAACACCACGGGAACCGGAAAAACCAATCTGGGAAAAGGAAACACCACAGGAAGGGAAAACACCAATCTGGGAACTGAAAACACCCAACCCGGTCAATCAATTCCTGTATAAAAGGATGTCAAGCTTGGTACCCTGGTGGGGGGAGAGATTAGGTTGCTCACAAGTCTTTGGAGGCTGCAGTTGTGTTGGCTGCTAGTCCGTTCTCTTCAGATGGATTGCCAGCTCTGCCAGCTCTGCCAGGTCTTGGTTTCGGTGTGACGTGGTGGGCACGGTCTGATTTGCTTGGTCTCTTACTGTGGTGATTTGGGGGAGGAAAAAAGGAACTTTAAAAAAGAAAACTTGTTTTCCGCGTTTCACGTGGCTTCGCAAGTGGAGGACGAAGTCCGCCACAGCTGCCGAAGCGCTGTGGGCCTTTCTGCCGGACACGGGGCACAGATGTGCCACGAAGAATCCCTACTCAAAACGTGACAAGGCCATCTTGAGCCACCCCTCTCCTGCATGTGCCTCCCCTCAAGAGAGGAGGGATGGCTCCTGGTACAGCAGAAAGAGAGGAGGCACCCAAAAGTTGCTGCCTCCTCTCTTTCCGCTGTACCTCCTCTCCTGAGTGGGGCCTCTCCTCTTTCGCTTCCAAACCAACAAGAGCTCGCTTCCACACCCCACGAGGCCATCTGTCCGCGCGGTAATACCGCTTGCCGGGCGCGGTCGGCCGGCCTCAGCGACGGTGACGGCCGAAGGGACCACTGAATGGATGAGGTCGTTGGCCAACATCAAGTAGATGTGGCTGTCAATGTCCTGAGCTGCAGAAAGTCCGAGGAACAGGTGAAAAAAAGAGCAGAGAACTCTGTGCAAGATGTGCTGTGCCGGCTTTGGGAACAAGTTCTCACAAGACATGGGGAATTGAACTGGCGCGGTCAGTTTCCCCCTTGCACGGGCCGCGGGGGGGTCCAGAACTAGTACCACCTTTGGTGCATTGCGAACGAAGAACGACTCTCAATCAGGGGTACTTCCATGAGCATTTTCAAGTGAGTGTAACTCCACTTCAGAGAAGTAGAGTACCCATTGGTACTCATTAGTGGATTAGTACTATATACCAGGACCATCCTGTCTGGGTGTCCTGTCTGGACTACCCAGCCGACTACTGTCCGAGATGTGGAGCCAGGACACCCAGACAGGATGGTACACTATACGACATACTAATAGATAGAGATGTTTGAATCATATCAGATGGTCAGATAGCTGAAGGTGATCCTATCTGCACGTGCAGCCCAACACCCATCGATCATCGAATATAAACCAGCACCTGACTTCACAGGTCATCACCTGCGACTCTGAAGTCTGCATTTCAGCCACCATATCGGAGACCTGTAGAGTCGGGTCCTGGAGAATATATATATATATATATAGAGAGAGAGAGATATAGAGAGAGAGAGAGAAGCCACCATATCGGAGACCTGTTGGAGGGTCCTGGAGAATATATATATATATATGGAGAATATATAATATATATCAGTATGTTATGTTTTTTGCACATCAGTGAGTACTCTCCAGCTCCAGCGCTTCATCCCATGGGTCCCACCCAACGGGTCCACCCGTCCAGCGGGCGCGCCCGAAACAGCGGACCCGTCCGCCGTGGAGCTCTGAGGTCTGCGGTTTCAGCTGGTGCTGGGGAGCTGTTTTTGGGGGCAGCTACGGGGTTCTCAGAGACTTTGGATGTCAGGCTTCTTAGCCCATCAGGCGTTGGATGGCCCTCACCGATGCCCTCTGCTTTGATAGGACCTTTGACCATGTTTGACCATAGTTCGGGTGGCTCCCTTACGACTCGTTCGGATGACCCATGTTTTCCAACCACAAGATCTGCAGTGTTCCACGCCCCATACCGCATGACCCGTTCGGAGCGTCACCCGTTCGGAAGGGTCCGGTCGCACCACACACCGGCCCGGCGTTGGCGGATCCGAGGATCGGCATCGGGTCCAAAGTACTCGTGGTAACCGCCAGTGTAGCCTTTGCCAATACCTCGGCGGCCACCCACTCTTTTTTGGCCCCACCGGGTCAGAGCAAGGTGTGTGGGTGGAGTGCAGGAAATGTGGGGAGGAAGATGGGAACGGAACCCCCTGCCTGAAGGGTGATTGACGAAGTTCTCGCAAACACGCCCAGGGCGAACTGGACTTGAAAGCCCCCCCAACAACCTCCCAAAAGCATCCTTGTCTGAATGCCCAAGAGCTTGTCTGTTGCGTGTGGGTCATGCGGTGTGTCCAATGATCTTCAAAAGCCAACCAACCTGACCATGTCAAACAATTGCACGACATCATGTTCACAAGATCTCAAGCGCGTGCATGCGGTGTTTTTCACCCAAGCGCTACCCGTCCTTCTGCGGTCCGGCGGTCCTTCCGCGCCCTCTGCGAACGGAACCCGCCGCTCGGAGTCGGGTCGAGGGGCCATGGGAGTGGTAAAGCATGGAGGTAATGCCGTCGAAGCGAAAGCCATCGAATTGGTATTCCTCAGTGATGTCGCGACACGAACCAAATCCCCAGGCAACCGCCAGCCACCTGTCGTCGACACCCCGGGCGACCAGTCTGCGGACCCGAAAAGCCCCTTCCGTGGGCTTTCAGGTGGTGCGGTGCTGTGGTATGAGATGGTGTATGTGATGGTCCGGTTTTTGAGCACCATATCCCGTGTCTAACCGGGAGCTTCACTGGTGGCACATTGGTGCAAAGTCTGCCCATGGCACTTCCGGCCCTTCCCTTCGTGCAATTCGTGGCCTAGGGTCCCATCCGAATCCGAAACGACGCTGGCCCCGACGCCGGCTCAGAGCATTTGGAGTGTTCCAGCCATTATGTGGATGGGTCAAAACCGGCCTGGTCCACCATTGGCCGCGAACCTTCGTAGGCCAACCGCTCGGTATCCTGGTGCCATGACCCAAGACCCGCCAACGAAGCTGCCCAAGACAAATGGTCGCTGAAGGTCGCTGCGCCCAATGGTCGCGTTCGCGCGCGGTCTCGCGAGACTGAGCGCGAGCGGCGATCGCACGCACACGTCTCGTCGACCAGTCGGAGCGCGGACGAGCAGTCGGAGCCAAACGTCTCGTGTCAATCAGGGATCTCCTTTGGGGAATAGCGGGGTCGATGCTCGGCACGGACCCACTATATCTTGGGAAAAGGCTATGCTCTGGAACAGTGGATGATGATGGTTAGAAAAGGCCTTTCTCGAAAAATAGTGACAACTGTTGATCGACTGTTCCAGGTAATAGGATAGCCCCAAAGCATACCGTTCACTACTGGGGGTATCTCCTCTATTCATCAACCAACCAAGGGCATGGTTTCCCCAGCGGCACAGCTCTGGACGCGAGCCTCCCGATCCAATGTCCACGGCACGGTCAACCACCACTTGATGTTGGAGAGAAGGAATCGAAGCACCTGACTCACGTCCAACCTCCGTGAGTAGAAGCAAACGCCATTCATCAGCCCGGCAACCGGTCACGGGACCGGTTGAAAGAAGCAAATCACATGGGTCAGACTCGGTCAGACTGAAAGGACATGGCGCCGGTCGGCTGATTGGCTCGCTAGATGAAAGTAGTGATGAAATGAAAGTTTCTGAGAAAAAGAGTGGGTTGGCCCACCTCGTACTTCAGGTAGTTGAAGATCTTCCTCAGTTTCACGATCTGATCGGCACAGCAGAGCAAAGGCCAAATGGCACCTCTACAAGCTGCTAGAAGGCGGAGTATCCTGCCTTTGGTGTGTTTATGTCTTAAGGGCTTTGGTTCTTGAGTGCAAAGGTTTTATGTCTAGCATACTTAGAAAACGCGTTCGGTTGCGACGATCAAACCACGAGATGCCTGGCCCCGTGAAAAACGGCATTGACTCTCTGTTCTCGCATTCCGCAGTGACTTTCCAGATGCCCTGGGACCATTAACCATTTGTTTTACTATGGATTTGACAGGTCACCAGGTCAATCCCAAACTCATTGTTTTGGCGCTTTTTCCATGGCTTCGGCCTGGGGCCGCCATGTTCGGCCTGCGGTCCAGCGGCGAGTCCCACTCGCTGTGGTGGCCCTTGGGTCCTGGACATGCGCGACAGGCTCGAGGTGAAACAGGTTTCCCTGATGTGAAACACATACCATCACCTTCCGTTCGGGGACACCAATGAAAGCCCCTGCACTTATGGATCTCCATTGGGCACCCCTTGGAAGGTCCACTTTGGGTATCTCCTAGCAAACCAGGGCCCAGTCGATGGAAGAGTGGACCATCAGAGATAGCACACTGAAGCCGCCACTGAAATTGGCTCGGTCTGACCAGATCATGCACCCCAGCCTCGACCAGATCATTCAGCGAAACGTTGAACGTTTCGCAACGTTGACACGAAGAACGACGTACTGGTCGTTCTTGGTTGACGTCGTTCTTCTTGACTTCACACAAGGTGCTGGATTTCTGGCGTTGCGAAACTCCTGCCATGGCCAACTTGCAACGTCTGGCCACCACCATGAGGGTGCTTCTGGTGCTTCTGGCCATTGGGTTTCTGGCACACATCCCATCTGGCTGGGGCTGCTTGTCAGGGACCCGACCACAGTTCTTCCATGTGATGTTTGTCCCTCCAAAGGCTGGAAGAGCCATTGGTTGTTTTTGCTTTTGAGATATGGCAGGTTCTATCATGTTGGCCTAATGACTGGCCTAATACTGGCCTAACCTATACTGTTTGTGATGTTCTAATCTGTCATCTTCGATGTTGGCCTAATTCTCTGGGGTCTCCACTCCATCATTCTTCACCTTGCGAATAGCAGTGACTATGGACATCGTGCTCTTCGTGCTCTCCAGCAGTTCCTGAACTGGGGCATCCCGGCACGGACAAGCTGACCGAGACTTGTAAGAATTGTTGTGGGAACAGTAGTGCGAATCCTTGTGGCCAATCAACTTCTCTGGTGCTTTCAGCGACGCAACCACACTGACGTCCACATCTGGTTTGCCAAATATCACATTCGTACACAATCTCCCACAGAATGATGTAGATAACAACAAAGCACCAAAGCAAACGATGCAAACCTGCGTCAGCCTGCAATCGTGGATTCGGAACTTCAGATCGGTTTCGTACTTAAGCCAATCATCCAAATCACAATCATGCATAAGCGCAAAGCCTCTGTGTTCCAGCATGATTGAGAGCCAGTCTAGATTCGATAAACTGATGTGTCTAACTTGTATCTGAAAATGGCGAGGACACGACACAAAAGGTGTCCTATTTCAAGGTTCCAAACGCCACCAAAAAAAAACACAACAACAACAACAACAACAACAAGTACGTATATACCTTAAACCTCCGGGTTGCTTTTCTCAGCCTCTTAGCAAAGAGGCTCAAATGTCAGGCCTCTCAATTCAAGAATTGCCGCTTAGAAACGAAAAACTGCCTCTCGTGTTTTTCTGGTAGAAGGGAATCTTGTCATGTGTAGTGTTTTTGGTGGTCTTTTTTGTCCACTGTAAATTTTCCACTGGTTTTGAACTGCATCCAAACCCAAATCAGTCACTTGAGCTTCATCATAAGGCCCGGCGTAACTCTTCGGGTGTTTGGCGTTTGGAGGTCTTTCAAGGCAGAGGCAGAGTTCATAGGAGTAGGCAATTGTTGCATTAGCAACCTGAGCGCCTGCAACTAGCAGAAAACAAAAGTAAAATGTTTAGCCTGGAAATGTTCAGACCAAATAGTGACTAGAGGTGACTATCAATACCCATAGAAACTTGCAAACAGCCCCACCTGCAGCCGTTGGAGCTCTGACATCAGGGTTGCATAATCACCCTCAGGTTTGTTATATCTTTCTCTTCTTTCACTAACGTCAAACCAGCCATCAGAGGATGGAAGCTGACACGCCATTTCCCCTTTGGATTAGAGACGAGCCTGAAAGCGGCAACCTGCCTGTCGACCAAAAATTCATGACCGGGGAAAATTCTGCCTCTTACCCGGGAAGTTCCGCCTCTCGTCTTTCATGTGTGTTCATGTTTTTGCATATGTTTCATGTGTTTCTTGTGCTTTCATGTTTTTGGGATGTTTTTGATGTGTTTCGTGCTTTTCAGTGGCTCTCCTGTGCTTTCATGTTATTCATGTGGCTTTCATGTGTTTCATATGATGTTTCATGTTTTTCATGTGTGTTTATCATATTGCGCAGTATCATGTTCATATTTGCAATTTTCCACTTGGATTGGCCTGCAAAAAAGACCCCCACAAGTCCGGCTCGACCTGTCTGAAATGCAGGTATTGAAGTGGGAAAACCGGACTTGTGAGTGTGTGTTTTTCTCTTTTTTCGCAGGCTAATCCAAGTTTAAAATTAGCAGTTCAATGACATCGAAAATCCAGTGGAAAATCCATTTGTAATGCTGCCCACACTGCGCCTGAGAGCAAGGGCGATGGCATGACCAACACAACATCGGTCAAACCCTGGATCTATCAACATAACTGGCAAGAAATCTATGTAAACCAAGAATCGCCTCTTGCAAAAAAAGTTGGCTCTCAGTTCCTAGAGGCACCTTCTAGGTTAGAGGCGCAAAAAGCGCAGCCCTAGCAAGATTCAGGTATACACTATATATATATATTATATATATATGTTGTTTTTTTTGCCAGGAAGCTATTTGCACGAAAACTTCAGGGGGTGTGGACAAATGATTGATGTATGCAAGGCAAGGGGTGTGTGCGGACGAAAACCAAGTGTCTCTTTAAGAGAGACTCCTGGTTTCCGTGTTCTTTGCCTCGTTTCCACGGAAACCCGGGTTTCCACCCGGATTCTTTTCTCTCCCAGCGGAGCGGCGCGGAGCGGCGCTCGTGACTCTGGGAGGTTTTGACTCTGAATTTGAGGCTTTCAATTCTGGTACAGACAGTTCAAACCCTAGGTGTGTCCAGTTCGACCATATTCGGCGCCGAAGTCAAGGAAATTCCTGGACTCGGATAGTCGGGGTTTTCTCGGCCGCATTGGCCAAGCTTCTACACCTGGAGTCCAATTGGAGACCGTTCAATTCTGAACCTTTTTGGCACAGAATTTCTTAGGGAGAAGCAATACCTGTGTGGCGAAAGGATGCGAAAGGGCATGAATGTTCGTAGAAACTAGAAACGAGTGCATTTGCACGACACACTCCAACGTACCCATCCAACCATCAACAGGTCCCATCAAACCATCCCGTCCCGTCCTCCGTGGGTGTAGCCTTGGCTTGCTTCGTCCGTTCGTCCGAGCTGTGGATGTCCGATGCTGTCTTCCGAGTTCGGAGCAATGCGGTCTTTAGACAGATACAAGGAAACCAGTCCCTACAAGTCAAAGACCTCATTTTGCTGGGGATGGTCGTGCAAAACCAATTCTTAAGGAGATAAAAGACCGGGTTTTACTGGGTCAAACTGGACTTGTAGGGACTGGTCTCAACAACGGACCAGGGCACCACCAGGACCAGTTCAATGCCCTTTCGTCCAGCGACCCGGCACCAGAGTCGACCGGACCGGTGGTGTGAAGGACCAGGGATTGATGAAACGGCAAATGAAGAGATTAATGCTCCCTGGTTTTACAGGAGCTGAACCTCCAATTGATCTTGCTGTGAACACACCTTGCTGCACGTCATGGAAGCTAGGATCTCTTCGAAATCGAGGTGCAAATTGCTCGTCTCTTCGCAAAAAAAGCATCTGATCGTGAATGAAGTCCTAGTTAAACAAGGAATGTTTTCCTGAATATAGGTCAATCACTAGGTCAATCTTGGCTGGCACTTTCACGTCACAGACCTAGACTTGTCATTCTCAACCTGGCTGCCACGTGCTCGTCCTTCATGCTTGGCTATCACTTTGTTCTTCGCATGGCTCTTTCTAGGAATGAATGACCTCGAGGCTCCAACCAAGGTGCTGGTGGGTCCACCGGGCAACGGTGGGTCCCGTCGCCCGTCTCTCACTCGCATCGGGCGACGCCCGACCCACCGGGTCGGAGCCTCGGTCGTGACCCATAGGTCAAGCCCGACCGGGTGAACCATAGGGTCTCCTGGGTCAACTTGGCCCAGCGGCAATGATCAGTGCCATCCATCTGTGCAATGCCATCCAGGGTGTTGGACGAGGCGTGCGCATGGACCAGGTCCATCAAGACATGAATTCCAAGACCTGGGAGCACCGCGGCGAACCAGGAAGCCGGTGACGAACCATCGGCTTCCGTCTACGTCTAACACCCGAAGGGGATAGGATAGATGAGCAGCGATGACCAAAAATACCCTAGTCCAAAGACCAGCATGTAACATGGTTGACCCGGTACTAGTGTAAAAATCCTTAGTAAAACCATGGTTCTTTTGGGATTTCAACCCATTAAAAAGGAAAGGTTTCTCTTCTTCGCATCGTTTTCGGAGGAGTCGGAGGTCGGTCGCGTGGCTCCGTTTTCGGGGCTCGGCGCCGGGTCCCAGGGGTCGTCTTCGAGTAGCTGTAGAACCTGGAATCCAAACGACACGTCTTCCTTGTCGGACATGAAGGCTCAAAAGAGGGGGACGAGAAAAACATGGTGACTTTACAACTAACAACAACATACGCGAGATGAAAGGTGATCAACAGTAGGACTCGGACTTTTGGTGCATTCTGTTGGTGCACAAATCACAAATCACTACATTCCCACTCATTCACATGGAAGAGAAAACTGAGCCGCCAGAATACCAGTGTCCTTTGCAAAAAAGAAACATGTTCCACGTCAGCCAAAAAAAACACACTTCACACACTCCAAAGTACAAACACTTCCTGCCCTCCTTGAGTTTCTGTCCTTTTTCTCGGTCTCCACTGCCTCAACACGCAACCACACGCAACCAGCCCGCACCCGCATGGCCCCGCTCCCCCCCCACGCCAGCACGGCGGCCCCAACCCGACCGCAGCACGGAGGACGGACGGCTCCGGGTCGGACCAAGGCGCCGTGGGCCGTGTCGACCAGGTACTTCAGCTCTTCGGGGGTCCCCGAACGCGAGGCCGGCGCGAAGAACGAGGTCACCTGCGGCTCCGGGTTTCGGTGCGGTCTAGAGTCTAGGCAGTTTGGGGTCGGAGCAACGAACGGGCGAGGGGTGGAAGAGTTGGAGAGACCTACATCTTCATCATCTTCTAACTTCTGCTTTCAATGTCTGCCTTTGGATCAGTATAAAACCAGCCAAAAGGCAGAAATGTTGCAGAAGCTGGAGGATCCAGGTATCAGAGTTGGAAGAGATGAGATGCCGATGGAGTGGGTGGTTGAAACCGGAGATCCTTGTAGGCAAATATACCATATGAGTACGGAGTACCAACCTGAGTGACCACCTCTTTTCTAGACAAATGGGCCGGGCCTTTTCCTATCTAAACAAAGGTCAAATGGGTTGCACCAGGAGTCACATGGAGTCCAGGGTGGTTTTGAGTCCCATCCAGGGCGGGCTCGTGGATGTGACGTTCGGGCACCCCAGCCACCTCCATGGATAGCCCCCCCGACATGTGACTGCTGGGTACATGGAGTGTTGTCTCCATGTTGGAGATTTCGATGCCTTGAGCGATGGTGAAGTCCCCACAAACCTGGAAAACATGGCGAGTGGGCGGGGCCCAAACATCTAAAAACAACATGCCCACCATCGACAAACTTGCCCTTCCACTCCCGCTCGCATTGCAGAGAAAGCACCCTACACTGAGGGAACACCGGCTTCCCAGGTGCTGGTTTCCCGGTTCCCCATGTTCAGTGCTCTCTTGTCTTGCCTTTCTCCACAGTTGTTGGGATGAACCCTTCCTTTCCCCATGAAACCGTCCAGGTGTCACGTCCTTCGTGAATGTCTCTGCATGGCCAGCCCCACGGATTCACCCGAAGCAGTCGTCCGCCCAGTCGCGTGATACCCGAAGCAGCCGTAGTGAGCGTGCTCCGCCACAGCCATGAGCTGGACGCAGTTGTAGCCCATGCGCTTGATGCGCGGGAGAATGTTACTCAGCCCAGCGAAAGGTTGGAAAAGAAAACGTGAGGGATGGTCATGAATGCAGGGGGCCACCCAGACTGCCTGATAAGTGTCAGATTGTGATTCCAATAAATACTAAACTTAAATAACATCTTACAAAAGTAATTGATATGAAAGCAGATGCGGCCCAGTCTTTAGAAACGTTGGAAGAGCAAGGAAATGCGGGGATCGAGAAAGTCTCTGGGACGCTCCAACGTCCGGCCCTACCAAGAAATCAATCATGTCCAAGCTGCCTGTACCGTGCGAAACACTCTTCTTGGGTCGCCAACTCTACCCAAAATCTGTTCTTCCCTGCAGTGTCCCCAGTTCTTCCCTTCCCAGGTCCTGGAAAACCCCCCCTCCTCAGTTCTTCCATTCACTTCAGAACCCCCAAAAACCCGGCCATCCATCCTTCCCCGCCACCTTCCCCACCACCTGTTTTTCACACCGAGCCACTCGGCGAACTCCACGTAAGTGGCCACCTTGGGCTCGACCGAGCCCATCCCTGCAGAGGCGAACCGCCCGCGCCGCGAGCGTTGGCCGGTCGGAGCCAGTGGTTGACCGGTTAGGGGTTGGGGGGCACCTGGTGTGGCGTGGGGGGCGCGGAATGGGCCCATGGAGTCAATGTAACCGAAGTGTTTGAGTGATTTGGAGGCCGCAAACACTGAAGTCTCTTCCTCAAAGTGGGTTGAACGTAGTGAACCACTGAGACGAACTCAAGCTCGGGAAAAGGCACTGAAGAAGCTGGTAGAGATGAAGTCTTTGATGGTCCTTGTACAATCCTGGTAGACATGGGTCACGTTCACGCGCAAACACGACGAGTGTTCCGCTGCGAATTCGACACAAATACCATCTCATACTCCCTGGATCTTCAGCCCAGCTGGTGCCCATTTTTCCCGACTCCGACCCTTATACACATCGCTTGGCGCCCGCGCCGACGTGTGCTTCGTAGATCTTCAGGTTCTCGGGCTTCTCCGGGCGAGCGTGCTGGAAGACTGGGCGCAGCGGCGAGGTGGAGAGGGTGGATGTCACGGGCGGCTCGGTACGTACGGAAGACAAAGAGAGGGTGTGTGTTTCTTCAAAAACAAGAAACGAATGTGATGCTCTTTTTTGAGAAGCCTGGAAGATGTGGAAGAGGTGAGGTATGAAAGAGAGTCCGACCATCAGATTCACGAAAACACAAAGAATTGCATGTACAAAAGAATTGATGCGGATGTGCGAGGTTAGGCAGTCAAGCACACAGAAAAAGAGGAACATGGATTAGCTTCCAACCTAGAAGCAATGGCCTCCAACCTTGTAGCGATGGCCTCCAACCTAAAAGCGATGGTCTCCAACCTACTGTTTTATCAAGGACATTGGACTACAAAACCAGGTCAGCCTTGCTTTTAAAGGTCTTTGCTGGGGTACTAGTAGTACTAGTACGTCACAAGAAGGCTTTTGGAAATTGCTCTGATCAAATACCGAACCTCCTTGGTCTCGAACTCGCAGACGCTCTGTCCCGTAGCCGCGGGGAAATCCAGAGGTTGGGCTGACAAGGTACAAGTGACATGTGAATAAAATGGAAACAAAAAAACAATGGATCGAATCCCAACATCAACCACCAATCAACCACCAAGTCACACAAGAAAAACGGTGGTTATAGCATGGGGGTTGTGGCACCATACGTCTTGACCGACCAAGGCACCATATTGCTTCTCCTCCGGCGGCTCCCAAAAGACGCCGTTGAAGAGGTTGGTGGCTCAGTGGCAGCAAATGTGGCGCCATTAGTGCAAATTGGCATGGGGGTTCCGGCTGGGGTATTGAAAGATTGCAAAGGACTCATTGGAAAAACTTGATCAAAATGGGATATATGCTTTGTGCAATGGGATGCTCATTCCAAACAAAACTACAAGTCCCACTCCCACCGAAAACACCATTTGCGCTTGAGCACATGTCTGACATGTGCACGGCATCCTTACAAGCGGCGTGTATCACAAAGCAGTTCAAGTGACTTGTAGCGGATGATCCTCCCGGATGTGTCTCAACCCTCCCATCCCCTCCTTTTCACCGCCTAGCGGGCCCTTTCTATCCACCCCTTTTGCGGACGGTGGTGCTCCGAGCGGTTCCGCAGCTCCCGTTGGTTTGGGACCAGCATAGCTGGTACCCAGGGCATCCAGGCAGCAAACCACGATGTGTAACCAGTGGTTCCAGGCAACGACGAACACCAGTTTGACCGAACGAGGGCCCCTGGTTCCCTTACTACTCGTGGGAACTGCCTGGGATGCACTGGGGACACTGAGAGCTCACCCGGCTCACCCCCCCAAAAAAGATACAAAGAGGGTGAATTCATGCAGACTGTCTGTTGATTAGTAAAACATGTAAAACATCATGAAACTCCCCCATATGAAGAACTCTTACACTCATGCCTCATCAATAGAATGGCTCTGCTTGGCTTTTTCTTTCATCAACCGTCAACCTGATCAACCCTGCTCTGTTCATGGTCCCTGCAGCACTCTACGCTGGGCCAGCGCTCAGGTTGTCCATCTCCCACCGACGACCACGCCCGCGCTCGAGACGACCACGCGGTGGTATACCGACGACGCCAACGAAGACGACGCCAACTCGCGAGCGAGTTGTCAGCGAAGGTGCTGTGATCTTGCCAAGCCAACTTGCTCCTCACCGGATCGCGAGTACCCAAGAACATGGAGGAAAAAGGGAGTAGTGGCCTGGTACCGACCAGAGAGGCACCCGGTTTTGGTATTTAGTTGTTGGGGGGAGAATTCGGGATCTCCCGTCGATTCATGCATCAACCTACAAGTCAAAGAAGGTCCAGAAACCTCATTTCGCTGCAGTTAGGCATCCGATTCTATATCGGACCGGACCGGGTCGTGGATCCATTACCGCCATCCCCGGGCGGCTCGGTCGCCCTCCATCCGGTCGCCCATACGGATCCCCGTGCGTTCGGTTGGGGAACCAAGAAAACACCTCAGGTTCCAGAGAAAGCCTCCATCACTACATGGTCCCAAAACACGAGTCAAATCGGGGCCTTCCCAAGCAATTGACCAGCGAACCACACCGAAGGCCAACACCGACCCCAGAACACCCGCCGCTCCAAGCAGGCACGCGGTCATGCCATCCACCGTCGTTCGATTCCACGCGCACCTGGGGCCGTGGTGCGCGCGGCCCGCCGGTGGCGCCGGTGGCGCGGAAGTTCATCGTGGAGGTTGGGGGTCGTGTTCTGAAGACTTTCTCGCGGTCTGTAGATGTTCAATCCCCCCGGGCTCCACAATCTACAGCTGATCTGAGCAAGCCCGTCATTGAACATGCAAGCCCGGACGTGACACACTTAAACTGCAACACAGAGAGTACGGGTCGTGAGGGTGTTCGTTCAGACCGTGCTTTCAGATCTAAACACACCCCTACCTTCCAAGTTGGGACCCTCATGGAAGTGGAATCTGTGCTTTTTGGCATGGCTTTTCACGATCGAGCCAAAGTCTTCCTGATATCTTACAGCTGAATCATGCTGCTTTCCAAGTGAAGAAGAAGAACTGCCACCACTGCAACCCCACACAGCTAACCGAGTCTTTTTCGATCTCAACCCCTGCAAGTGTTTGAGAGGTCCTTTTCCAAACCCTCTAGAACAGCAGCCACACAGTCCCCACAAGTCATCCCCCGCCCGGCAGCCCATCCTAAGCATCGCTGGCCTTCAACTGACTGGCATGCGGGATCATGGGGCTACCATCCTCCTGCAGCAGTGTCTTTGCGCATCGAAGCCATGAAAGCTTCTTACGTCCATGGCCTTCAAGGTTGACCTTCAAAAGCAAGGTCGACCCTGTTTTTGTAATCCAATCTTCTTTGTAATACAATGGTTGTTTGGGATTTGGGACCTAGGAATCCCAGGGTCCTGTAGACCGTCCACATCGATTTGGAACACAAAAAGCGGGGTCCGGCGTCCGGCGTGCGACCGGACGCAAGGCTGGGGCAGACGACGTGGGCCCCCAGTCTCCTGGATCTCCCCGAGTCGTGTTTTGGTATGACCAACTAGAGGAGTGACATCCTCTCCGTTTATGGGGCTTGAGATCCAGCCGGGCGGCTTTGATTCAAACGGAACAGCTGCTCAGTGGCATGCAATCCAAGTAAGAACTTACTTCTTGGCATATATATACCAGGACCTTCCAACAGGTGGTTTTTGGACACCCCTTAACCTCCATAAACACCTCTTTGGAAGGTCCTGGTATTTATGTGTGGGCTCCACAAAAAACAAAACCTTTCCAAACCCACAAAACCGGTCCTTTTCCAACCCAATTTTGGGATTCCCTTTGTATGTCCAGTCGAAGACGAAAACGCTCGGTCCAGTCTCCTGATTTCAAGAAACCTCCCAGCCAAGTCGTGTCCCTTTTGAATGACCAAATGGCCTCTTTTACCTGTGTTTTCCGAAATTTGGAATAATAGTTATTCTAGTAATAGTAATAATCGCAATGGCCTCCAACTTAATAGCAATGGCCTCCAATCACTGCAGACCAACAGGTCAGTTCGGTCACTTCACCGGAATAGCGGAATCCACAAAACCTGACCGGTCACGGGCACCAAAAGCGTTTCTGGAGCCAAAAAGGTGACCGGTCACCGGCGAACGCCGGTCACAGCGAAGCGCTCAAGCGGTTCGCCGGGCACAGCGAAGCTCAACTGACCGTCCTGGAAGGTCGGTTGACCCCCGTTTCAGTCTTTGGGTGACGCTTTTGTCCGGTCCTGAAGACTTCCAATGTCAGGTCATTCCAGTCGTCGTGACATGATTGAACTTGGACTGGAAAAAGAAAAAAATAGAATAAAAGTAATCCTCTCCACCTCTCCACCCCTCTCTCGGTGTTTCCTCTCCTTGTTGGGCAGATCCACCTTCCAACGGCCAAAGCCTTCGTTCTGCAGCGGTGTGCTGTTCTGCCAGCCGTTGAACCTGGCGTCTGACGCCGTTGACGCGTCTGGCGAGGCGCATGCGAGCTGACACTCGGTGGGGCGGCGTGGTGACCGTGGTGACACAAGAGACGACCTTGACGGGTGACCTGGAGTGAAGAAAAGAAACCATGCTCTTTTCCGAGTCGAAATCATGGCCATCCACGAAGACCCTCAATGATTCGGACGGAACTTCCGTTGGAAACTGAAAGACCCCACCTGGAAAGTCCTCCACCACTAACCGCCCACACTCACTGGACCTTGGGCCTGGGGGTTCTTTTCCCCAAAATCGAAGGGGGTGGTCATGGTCATGTCGTGCAGTCGGGTGCATGTGGAAAAGGGGTTATATAGGGAGTCAGTCTTTGTTCTTTCTGACTGGCTTCTTCTTCATGGGACGAGCCAGCGACCTCCATGTGACTGGCTGCCAGGGCTCTTCGAGTGGCCTCCTGGAAAGGTGTCGTTGGCTTCTTAGAGCTGTCTGTCGCCCAACCCACCACACCTCTTCTGACACCCTGATTTGGGCGTTGGAGAGCCCCCCCCTCTCGGAGATGGCGCTTCGGAAGACCCATGGGAGGCGGGAGCACCACTGGTCTGGGGCTCCCTGCTCACCAATCAGGAAGGCCTGCTTGGCGTTGGGGAGCCATTCACGGTAGACATATCCACCTGGCGCAACGAAGAAGACCTGACCACGAATTCAGTCGACGGGTCGCGGGTTCGGAGACCAGGAGGGCCACACGTGGAGGGCCACACCTTGGCCTCCCGGTCTCGGAAGCACCATAGCACCATTGCTTGAGCTGAAAATGGAACGCTCCAACCCCAGCTCCAGGTGCTTCCCATGGGTGTGTGTGTGTCTGGTCATCTCGGAGGCGGCTGTCGGGAGATGCCGTATGCAAAACCTTGAACAGTCCCATAGCCTATCCCATAGCCTACCACTACCAGGGCCCTCCATGTCTGGTGGTGAACCTGGGGGTCCCAGGCTACCTCGGGCCCCCCCATGGCCCGTCGCTCGTCCTTCCCAACTCACCGAGTTCCGTTCCGGACAGAGCCTTTGGTGCGATTGAAGCCAAAGATCTTGTATCCTTCAGCAAACCTCGGCGTGTCAGCTTTTTCTATTGGTGCAATGGAATAATAAAAGAGTTAAAAAAAAAGAAAATGCGTCTGTATACAACCCAAAGAAGCCAAAACAGGAGCATTACACAGCGAGATGATGTTGTACTTCTGCAATCAGGAAGTGGCTCGAGCTTGCGAATGATGCTTCGTTCGCCCCAACAAAGCTCGAACAAACTACGGTTGCTACCCTCCCATCTTGACATGGAAACAGAAAGGTCAACACCTGGTTCTTCAAAGTGACCTTTTGATATCCTGCTTTCAGGTCACTTAAACCTGTAAAGGGACTCCAAAAAGGTCACTTGGAAGAAGCTGGCAGGGACTGTTCCACATTGCCACACATACGCCCGGGACTCTTGTGCTCTTTCGCACACCTATGTCTATTCTGTGTGTGCTGAAGAAATGAGCCAAGGCCAAAGAAAAGAAACCGAATGGGCGACTACTCGGGGCGCTCGCCCCGTGGTCCGATGGAAGTCCAACTCTCAGCGTTTGAGTCCGCTGCTCTGCCATGCCATTCTCCTTCTCTTGCAACTCATTCTTCCACCACCTGACACAACGGCCACGCGTCTCTCCTGGAGACCGCTGGGAGCTGGTGTCACTTCGGTGGCCGGGACTTCCGGTCCTTGACCGAGGTGTGGTGTGGGAGACGCGGGGGGTGGAGACCCAGGGCGGTCCATCCGGCTGGACCGCCAAAGGAGTGTTTTTTTTTGTTTCAGGTCGAAAAAGGTTTCTGAGTTGCAACCGTCGCATCCAATCAATGTTGTTCAGAACATCCTCAATTGGAATCATGTTTTGCTTATGTAAAACACCTTACCTTGGCCGCATTGATCAAGTGGACGGATGTTTCTTTTGTGGCAGGAACTCTGTGGTCGTCGTTCGGGTCCCTGCCTGTAGCCATTGACTCGATCCCAGATTTGACCTTCACAGCCACGAAGTGTGGAATCGATCTCAAAGATCTTCAAAGCCATAGCGAGAGGCGAGAGAAGACGGGGGTTGCGAGCGAAGACAGAAGTTCGCGGAACAAGTCCGACACAAAGTGCTTATTGCAGATGCGCGCAAGTCCGTTGTGGAAAATCCAGCTGGCAAGTGACATGTTCACCGCAAAGCTGAGCTTTTTAGATGCTGAAGGCTGCGGTCGTCCGGTCGCACATGCGAGACCAGCAGACCGAGCCGCGGACCGGACCACGCGAGACGCCGCGGCTCGGTCTGGTCCCGAACTCGTTTTGGTTCGTGGTGGTCGAAGATCTGTTTTGAACTCCATGGTTCTTTGGGAGACTCGGAACCGGCCACTGGAGCGCCCCAAAGACCAACCCAGATCTAAGCTCTTCGGACTGGAGGGCCCACCGGGCTGAATCCGGAACAACCCTTAGTTAAACAAAGGACTTTTATAGATGTAAAAAGAAATGCACTGTGAATCTCTGAAGGCAGATCCACCACTGCCGTTTTCCAGTTGAGGCTGTGGGAAGACGCTTAGTCAAACAAAGGATGTTAGACTAGGCGAAGCCCAGGTCGGCCATTCTATTACATGGTCGAACGGAAGCCGAGGGCCATCAGGGAATGGATTCCTCCGCCCATGTGGGCAGCCCACGAGGGCAGCCCAGCTGAAGCAACCAAAAGGAAACCCAAAAAGCTTCCCTTCGGCGACATGAACCGAGCACTTTGAACAGGAACTTCAATTTGTTTGTGACAAATCTCCGCATCCTTTCTCCCGAGGTGGGTATATATTGTTTGCCCACCAGCGTCTATTGCTGGGCCTTTTTCTGGTGGCAGCTCCGGTGTTCCAGTCCTTCAGTCCTGCTACCCTACTGAGCCCTACTGACCCAAGCCTTTTCTCACCGTCACGGCGGTCACGGCGTGGTGAAACCGAGACACGGGTCACCCACCGTGGAGGACTGAAGTCACCCGTGGAGGACGGCGCTCAGTGATGCAACCAGAGGGCGCTCTGTGTGCCTGTGTTGATTGCTGTGCCCCGTTTCGCGGCCCCCTGGATTTGAGGCCTTTCTCCCAAAAGAATCGTGGATCCTCTTTCAGGGTAATGCTGGGACACCCTACACAGATTGCTCAAACCCGCAGCGTCGTGTACCGTTTGCCTCCCTCATCCCCTTCCTCCCTCCATGCGGACGACGTGCGTCTACTCCCTCTGTTAGCGCTGCTCATGATCCCTCCGTTCTCACACCCCCCTCACCATCGGTGGGCAGCTCGGGCGGCTCCTCCTCACAGATCCGGTGAGCTTTCCGGAGCGGGAGCGGGAGCGGGAGCGCTTCGCAGGATGAGGAGCAAAGTCTCCATTTGGTTCCGGAAGGGATCCAAAAAAGAACAAGCATAGTGACGTAGTGTGTCATTTCGTGGGTTGCAACGAACGAGCCTTCACCAAAAAAAGAAGTTTGGTCGATAAAATAGGAACTGGCTCCGCCCCCTCCTCATCTCACCATGATGAATGACCCTCCCAGCACCCACGTCACACATCTATTGGGTGAGACACCGCAGCTGCCGGCGGCTCATATGCTGGAAGGTTCAGCCCCCCAGAGGTCGGGGAAACACCACCAAAACTTCCAAAGGGTGTCTCGCTGAAGCAGATAGTGTCGTGAAACACCAGGATAGTGTCGTGGATGGCTGCAGGATAGTGTCGTGTGGTGAAAAGCTACACGGACCAGTTGCCTCCTTGTCCCAGCCCCGCACCGCTGATTGCGTGACGTGTTCAAGAGATGTTACTGTTAATGAGCTAATGATGGTATGATCATGTGCAGTGAAACAGGACAAAAGATCATGATCTTTAAAAAAAGATTAGCACTTCCCTCCTTGGCAACATAAGTCTTGAAACCATGCTAGAAGCACCCCAACTTCCACAAGCGTTACCAGTTACCAACAACAGAATGACAACCCTAACCGCCATCCACCCATCCACCCATCCCAAAAAGAGCGTGACCCCAAAAAATCACTCCACTCAACAAGGGGGCAGCGACTCCTTGGAGAAAAAATCAGAAAAGCCAACGGCGTCGCTCCTCGTCCTTCTCCTCCATCTTCAAGCATCGTGCGATGAAGGCTTGCACAGCCAACAAAGGCTCACGGGACAGCTCGAACCTGAGAACAACAAGAAGCCTCTCCGGATCTGTAAAGGCCCATTTCAACCAGGGAAGACCAGTACAAGAGAATGCTTTTACCTGGTTTTGTAGTGTAAAATCCCTAGAAAAACCATGGATCCAATGGTATTCAGACCATTCAATCAATGGGCGCCAGGAACCCGAATACAGCGCGCCGGCTGCTGAAGGGTTCCTCGAGGTTCCCGACGACCGACCTGAAGGGAGAGGCCCCAGTGGGCCGGTCTCTCCTGGTCAACCAGTAAGACCACGGCACCATCGGCACATGCGGCATTGACTTTACATGCTTCTGACTGTCGCCCCAACCCAAACACCCAGCGGCTTCTGTTCGCCACAACCCAAACACCTGGACGGCGACGCACCACCGATGCGGAACTGAGAACCCGAGCTGAGCTTCTGGGAAGAGCTGAAATCGGATCTGGACCCCGGCCTCCTGGAGGTGCCACCACCGCGAAGATGCTCCCAAACACGACGATGGCAGCACCCGCCCTGGGGCCCTGCTCCCCTTGGGGCCCTTGCCTAAGAAGCAGTGGTTAAAGGGTCTGGGGCCCGCCGTTCTACTAAGGATACGATTGTAGACTAGAAACCCAGGTCAGCTCAGGTCGATGTCGTTCAAGGCAATGCTAGTTTCCACCGCGGGATGGGGGAGCTATGACCCCATCCTATTGCGGAGCTATCGCAAAAACACCAAGCCAGGCACTCCGAAGGAATATCACATTGGGAAATGGGGAGGCAAGCTCAAGCGCGGTCCTTTGGCAGGGCTCAAAATGCGTAGGAAACATGTGAAGAGTTTTAGATGTCTTCAACTAGATAGAGATGGCGTCCATTTGGGGGAGTCATGTGTGGCCTGCAGAAGTTGAATATGATCCCCAGCACTCAGGAGTGATTGGTGATCATCTTTGGGCCACAGCCGCAGCTTTTTCTCACTCTCCTTCAAGAAGTGGACCTTGGTTGGCCTTCTCTGGTCGTGTCCCAACATCTCGACCAGAAAATGCACGAAACGACACTGCATAATGTGCACTTCACAACCACCACGTTTCGCTGTTTCTCCATCTCAACACCCCACCATCCGTCACTGCACAGCGACTCATGTCCGTCCGCTCGTCCCCGCCTTGAGCATCTTCGCTTGTTGCGCAGCCAAAACAGGCTCCACCACGCTGTCCCTGGCGCCATGGCACCAGAGCATCTCCTCGGCTCGGTGCGGCCCGGTGCGACGAGGTGCGTGGCTTCTCTGGCGCGTCAGACGTGCGACGTCGTCTACGTTGCGCATTGGACCCGGGGGTTCCAGGTCTTCGGCGTGACGTGCGGCGCAGGTCTTTGGCGTGCGCAAGACCCGCCTTTTTTCCTTATATAAGAGAGGGTGACAAATGGTAGCGTATACTCCTGCGGTGACCCATCCAGTGAACCACATACTCCTCCACTTTTGGGGTGGCCTATTCCTGACCCAACAAACGAGGGAGTCTTTGTTTGGCCAAAGAGTCCTGAGAGACTCTAGAGATTGAGAGGGACACCACGGCCGAGCCGAGCCAAGAGAGATCCCGGCAGAGGAGACGAAGACCATCTTGGGCCATTTTCTTCCAGGGTACGGATGTGAATTTACAGATGCGGCCGGCCGCCAAAAATATGTGAAATCAAGAAGAGATTGTTTCTCCCTTTGCCTATTAATTTTCAAGATGAAAAGACCTTAGCCTTTGAGTGTCTCCTAGAAGGTTCTTTGCGGAAGGAGAGACCAGAGCCCTTCAAATGCATTTTTTCTTACGAACTCTACAGAGCCCTTGCTCTCACTGACTCCAAAATGTTGCAAACAAGAAACCCAAAGGACACTAAGCACGACAGGGCATTCCGACGTCCCTTCCTGAGACAAGAAGAATGACGACCGACGTCCCATCGTCTCGAGATCCCGAAGAGCCCCCGAACTCGGGAGCCGAGGAACCGTCGTGATGCCACCTTCCCTCAAGCTCTCTGCCAAGTCCTGCGGACGGAGAGTCCGAACCGCAACCTTCCAGGAAGAGCAACGGGAAGACCTGTCCAGCTCCAGGACCGGTCCAGTCTTCTTTGGTCCTGAAAACATCAAAGAAAGTAGTGCTTTTGTATGACCTGGTCCAGTAAAATGAGGTCTAACTGACCTGTAGGGGCCATGAAATCCTTGGCAAAGCAATGGTTGTTTGGTAAAGGCTACAGTACTACATAAATCAATGGTGGTTGGAAGACTAGAGTGACTAGAGCATGATGGTGTAAGCAGGTTGCAGTGATCAAGCCCGAGCCATAAAGTTCCAGAAGAAAACCACCTGATTTGCCCAGCAGAGACGCCTCCTATCAGTGGACTGCTGGACCGGCCTCCTATCAGACCGGCCTTTGGTTTGGGGTTCGGCCACGGCCATTTGAACAAGACAAGACATGCCAAAACCACCCAGTTGAACATGGCCTGCGGGTTCTGAAATCAGGTTCATCTGTTCAAGTGGCAGGTTCGTGTCTGAGAAGAAACCGCCAAGACCAAGACCAAACCGAGGCGAAACCCCCCCACCGTGCAAGCACGGACTGCCCGCGCGCGCCCACTCGGGCGGGACCTCTGCGCACGGCAACCATGCGCTGCACACGACGCCTTCAGGCTCAGTGCAAATTAGCTACTAATAGCACTTGTTCCTAGTAGCGATGCACTTAGCTACTAGTAGCTTCTTATTACTAGTAATGTCCTTGTTACTAGGAGTCCTCGTGAAAAAGACCCCAGACAGCTGAGATGGCTCGAAGGTCCGGTGAGATGCCTTCAAGATGGGTCGCTTAAAATGTCAAGCTCCACTCGATCATCCAAGTCCAAAGTGTTGTGCAACGAAATGTGTTCAAATTCCAAAAGCAAGTAATAAGAGACATCAAATAAAAATAAAGGAAATGGAGATTGAGATGAATCACAAAAAAGAACCTTGGGTCCCCAGACCTTTTGCCAAAACGACGATCTTCGCTGTCGCCGTCTGCGCAGAGAAACACACCTGCGAAGCGGACCGCGCCTCCAGCAAAAGGCTCTCGGGATTGGAGCACCTGCGACGTGCAGGTGGACACCGTCAGCGACTGGACCGGCGCGACTCCCGACCGACCCGTGGCAAGTGGGTGGGTTTTGTTTGGCTTTTGTTCATCCCTGCCCACGGTTTGGCTCATCCGAAACGAGATGCAAAAAAAAGTGCTTGGCTGCTTGGCAAGAATGAAAATGCATGACAAATCCAGAACTGTTCCCTACATTCCGCAGTTTCATCTAAACCTCCCATTTCTTCGAATGAATCCCTGCCAGTCGACCCGTCCATTCAGAACAATCTCGCGAGCGAGCGAAAAAACCGTCTGGTCGAACGAAAGACCTGACCTCCGGATACGTCGCGTTTCGGCGTGTGAACTTGTACGACCAACTTGAGTCTTTCGTTTTCGGTCGGGAACCCCTGATCCCTTAGGTCGAGGTCGATGTCCTAAAGCCCCCAGGCCGTGGGAAACATGAAACTCTAAAATCATGGCTCTGAAGGTCTCATCTGAAGGTCAAGAGCTCTTGATATCACCAGGTCTCCGAGTTATGGTGGCTGAGTTCTGCAGACTTAAAAGTTGCAGGTGACCTGGCAGGTTTCGGGTGCTGGTGGTGATCCAGATCTTATTTATTCAACATGTTTGACTTCATCACAAAAACGACAGCTGCATCCAACCCACCCAAAAAAAGAAAGACCTGTCTTTTTGACGATCAACCCCCTCCCCAAACCCAAAACGTCTGCCCGGCGTCTACGGCCCACGGTCCGCCCCAGTCGGGTCACCGCACCGTCTTCAGCACCAACGCGCCGCCCATGCCGAAACCGCCCAGGAGGATGCGCCGCCGCGGCACGCCCTCCACCTCGGGGGGGCGGGTCCAACGCCGCGAGGGACGGACGCCCAAGAAGGGCAGTACGGCCCTGACTGAGATCGTGAAGCAGAACCCGGGTGGAGAGGATCCAGAAGAAGAACCCACCCCCCCCCGTGGCGAAGTTTCTCGAAGCCTCGACGCCACACTCGTGTGGAGGGTCCCAGGAGAAGAGTTAAGGACGAAAAGGGAGCAAAGTCCAGCAGTTCGACCAGTCCACCATGTGGTCGAGGTCGTCGACCTTCTATAGGCAAGCTGGGTCAACAGCTGGGTCTCCTGGTGCCCAAAATCCTGCTTCAAAAGATGCGAGGGTGCTGGAAGGAACAGGAAAGAACTGGGTGATGAGAAACGCCTGAACTTGTTTTGGAAAGGTCTTTTTGGTGCAAGAGAACTCCAAAAGTGCTCTGCAGCTTTGCCCAGAGTGGGGAGCCATGGACCCCGCCGGCCTCGAGCGCTTTGACCGCGGCCTCCACGCGGGCCACGGCCTTCTGCACGTCCTCTGGATCCTGGCAGAGCGTGCTTCGCGATCCAGGGGGGGGTACCTGAAGATCCAACCCCCTGCACCCCTGGTGGAGGACCATTCCTTTGCACCCCAGTTTTGGTCCATGTGGTCCTCTGGAAGGTAATGAACCATATCAGACCGCCCCAGCTCCTCATCTGGGTCTATGAAAAGACGTGAGACCTCCCAGAAAGAAGGAGCATCGACCTGTCAACAGTTTAGGCACCGAACCTCCCAAAAAGTCAGGGGGCGACTCAAGTTCTGCCTCGGACGCATCAAGACATCTGCGTCGGAGTGCCTTATGGATCCCCTTCCACACACCTCTTGGCCTTGGAGTCAAACCACGCGCGGGTGTGAGTGTAGTGCACGCTCACCAAAACGCGCGAGCCCGGCCGCTGTGAGGGAGCCCAGAAAAGAGCTTAAGGGATCCCATGAGGATGTGGATCTGAATAGGACACCCGAAAAATAGGACACACTCGCCCCTAGATGTTTTTGGTTCGGAACCGAACCCATTTTTATACGGGATGCCGGCAGGGGGTCTGGTCGTTGGGAATGCTGCCACTGGCTCTCCAGTTTTCATCACCCATGAAATCAGGTTTCAAACCTCCCTGAGACAGAGTGGCCTCCAAATCCTGAACCACAACAAACCCTTTCCGTTTCAAGGTTCGATTCAACTCTTAGGTGGTTCTGTATCAAATCCCTCATTCTTCACATCCCAATAATCATGCAATGTTCTTCTATAGGAGCTTCATCCACATGCTCATCCACACGCCCCCGCTGACGTGCCCTCTACCACTCCAGCGCTTGCACACCGCCGAACCGAACCGCCCCCGCCTCGCCCTTGCGTGGTCGATCGGGCACCCCGCGCACGGTGCGGCAAATGGGGTACTCCTCTCGGCGCTGGCGCGGGGTGGTCGCGGTTGGGGTCTCGGTGGCGCCTTTTTCGGGTGAAGGCAGAGAATCTTCGAACTTCAATGGGGAGAAAAAAGTGTCCTGAAGGCCGATTTTTCTCGACAGTGTACCCGCCTTCACGTCAAACCACTGCAAAACCAAGGAATGCCCTCGAATGCTGGAGGGCTGCAAGGGAGCTCGCGGCCTCGAAACCACTGTGACGGTCTCCAAAGATCGGACATGTGGGGCCGTGGTGAACAGATTTTATGTCGGCACAGCAACTGAAGTGCCGCCACAGTGCCACAGTAGCCTGCAGGGTCTTCCAATTTGGCATTGAAACGCAAAGCCATCATAGAATACGCGACAAAAATCAGATTGCAGAGCTAAAGGTTCCAGGTATGGAGTATAAACAGATGTAGAATAGAATGTCATTCGTGAAGCAGTGAAGCAATTCTGGAGTTGGGTTGGTACATCACAAAAAATAGAACAAAAACCATCTTCCGGGGTCAGATTTGAACCGCTCCGCCAGCCCAGCTGTTGTTTTGGGCCCCCCGGTTTGTCCGGTTTTTCAACCAAGGGGCCAAAGCCAACGTACACGACCCGCATTGGGTATCGTGAAGTCGTTGAACATCATCTGCTGGATCGCCTGGCGGTGCTCGGTCGGGTTCGGTCGGGCGATACGTCGATCCGACGGGTGATAGGTCGCCGGATCTGTGGATAGGTGGGATCAGTCGCTGTACACCCGATGTGGAGTTCCCTGTGGTAGAGAGTTTTCCACTATACAGTAGACTATACAATGATCATGGTGGAAGTGGATGGCACAAACTGTTTGTAGAGGAAAGCGGATCATGGCCATCCAAGAAATAATTTTCCACGTCCATGATGATTGCAGGAGTGTAGCCACACGTTTTCAAGTGAACAAAATGGTAAGGAATGTGGAGTTGATGGGACGGGATCAGGCAAGCCAATGCAAGCGATCTACCCATTTGGCCAAGCACCCCTGGTTGTGTTCACAGCTGTAGCTGCTTTTTAATCAAAGGCAAAGCATCAGACCCACACACGAAAACTCACTATCTTCTCCCTGGTACACTCATAATGGCCGTGCGGAGACACACACACACACACTTACACTTGAGATGAATGCTCTGCCGCGCTTGGTTTCAGACAATTCGCGGTGAGCATTAGCACTTTATGTGAATACTTAGCTCTTGACTTGCAAAACCGTAACAGTGAAAGGTCAGCGCAACTGAATGTTTGAACAAACCCGTTACCTCTTTAGAAGAGCATTAGAACTTTATGTGAATACTTAGCGCTTGACTTGCAGAACAGTAAAAGCGAAAAGTCAGCACAACCGAATGTTTGAACAATTGTGTTAGCTCTTTATGATATGTTAAACAATTGGTGCAGGTACGTCCAGAAAGCGTCCTTTCTGGATATCACTGTCTTCGTTGGGCAGTGAGTGATAGTGGTCCACTGCCCCCCTGCAACTGTACATGGTCAAGCTCAGCTAAATAGTGTAGAGCAAAGTAGGTAAGTGTCCCTTGGAACGGGGGTTGACACACACAAGAAGCCGAAACGGCGCATCTAGGAAGACTCAATGCAAGCGCTTTTTCTGGAAAGCCGCAACGCTGCAGCACAAAGTGTGCTTTTCATGCTTATTCTTTCTTTTTCTTGTTATTTTCCTTTTTCTTTTTTGCCAGGGGTGTGGAGTGCGTTGACTAAACGAGCCTGGATGCCACCTAACAAGCCTGAAGAAAAGAACAAGACAAACGAAAAAGCAAGGAAAGAAGAGAAAGGTGCAGGGCGTGCGTTGACTAAACGAGCCTGGATCTCACCTAACAAGCCTGAAGGAAGGAACAAGACAAACGAAAAGGCAAGGAAGAACAAGAAAAGGTGCACGGGGTGTGGTGGGGTGGATGCTCTTGCGAGCAAAAGGCACGGACCCATAGGCACTGGCCGAGAAGCCGAAATCGGCGCATATAAAATGAATACTTAGCGGAACCTAAGAATACTTAGCTGTCTAATTAAAACTTGGAAAGCTTCCGTGGTGAAACAGATTCAGTGAGCTCTGCAGCTTAGTTCAGAGTAGATGTCAGTAAGCTCTGCAGCGATCCTGCGCGCGTACTGTGTGAAACATTTCCGTCAATCACACTTCGAGCATCAAAATTCAGCAGAAAGATTCAGCAGAAAAATTCAATGCAATACTCCTATGAAAGGGAGAGGAAATTCAACTCGGTAACGGCGCCCCGTAGGGTTCACACAGCTTACCACAGTGAGAAGAAGCTGCGAATCACACTTGAGATGAGTGCTCTGCCGAGCTTGGCTTCAGACAATTCGCGGTGAGCATTAGCACTTTATGTGAATACTTAGCTCTTGACTTGGAAAACCATAACAGTGAAAGGTCAGCGCAATTGAATGTTTGAACAAACGCATTACCTCTTTAGAAGAGCATTGGCACTTTATGTGAATACTTAGCGCTTGACTTGCAGAACCGTAAGAGTGAAAAGTCAGCACAACCGAATGTTTGAACAATTGCGTTAGCTCTTTATGATATGTTAAACAATTGGTGCAGGTACGTCCAGAAAGCGTCCTTTCTGGATATCACGACCAAACTATCACTGTCTTCGTTGGGCAGTGAGTGATAGTGGTCCACTGCCCCCCTGCAACTGTACATGGTCAAGCTCAGCTAAATAGTGTAGAGAAAAGTAGGTAAGTGTCCCTTGGAACGGGGGCTGACACACACACAAGAAAATGCACAGACCGCCGGCCTAAGTAAAACCTAAGGAACCAGGGTGAGCAAAGCCAAGTCAAAGCTCAAGGCATAAGATGAGGAACCGCTGTAATCTTGTTCCAGCTATGAACGGGACCAAGCAGGGAGTAAGAAGTCAACACTGCAGGTACAGGAAAGTGCGTCCACATTCCCTTCTGTCTGAGTCCCATAGCTTCGTTGGCATGGCTAGGGAAACAGCTGCCATGCGCCCTGCTGTCAAAAAGGATCAAAACACAAAAACAAATCAACGGATTCCCTGTGACCCCAACCTTTCAACACACGCCTCGCGTTGAGGGAGGCAGAGTGCCAGACGCTCAGGAGTGATCTGGTTGGGGTAAGCAGTCAAAGGAACTCGAAGTTGACCAGCAGCATCAAGGCGAGAAGGTCGTGGAAGAGGGCCGAAACTATAGGCGCGTGGGCTCTGGGATATTCATCAGTGTAGCCAATGGGACGCGTCGGACGTTCACAAAATGCATGACCAAGACCTATAAGGAGAAAGTGTAGGGAGCTTCCCGAACTCAAGAGTCACCTGTCGAAGGGAGAGCCAACGGGGGAACGCCAAGGCGAGAGTAGATCACATCCTTGAGATCATCAACAGTGTACTCCTTGTCGTCCCGGCCGGCAGCGGAAAGGATGACATGGATGTAGTTCAAGGGTTGTGGACCAGAAGGCTGGTGTCGAGGTCGAACCGGACGGTCAAAATATGAATCGGTACTTCCTGACGTCGACCATAAGGGAGACTTGCGCCGTAGATGGTCCTGTAGAGCGGGTCGGGCAAGCGAAGACCGGGGGAGGAGGTCATCACAGTGGCAGGGAATCACAAGATCGTAAAGAATAGAAGCACATGGGTTGAACCAGAATGGCTGCGGGGAGAGGAGATAATCAGGCGCAGGACTGACATCCAATCTTCAAAGCGATGGTTGGCCAAAGCGCGGCAAAGATCCTCGTGGCCTTGATCCAAAAGGGAGTGGTCCACATGTAATGCCGTCAGGCGGACCTCAATGAGATCGCTCAAATGTGATAAAGGGGTCATCGGTCCATCTGAGGTTCAACGGGGTGGCTGAGCCACTCCGAGGAGCTCTGCGGCAGTGGCGGGGAGTTGGGCAGCAACACTCCCACGTGCTCGCAGAAGGTGGTAGGCGGCGAGGTGCGCTGGTGGTCGGGCTCGTGGAGGGCGAGCAGGGCGAGGAGAAGCGGTGTTTGGTGTTTGGGGTGGGGGCAGCGGTGGAATTGGGAGTGGAGACCATCGTGGGTTGGCCTTGGGTTGCGAAGTGAAAGTCGAAGCCGGTGGCGTTCATCACGGGAAAGGGCTGGAAGAATTGATGTTGAAATTGCTGGGCAAGGAATTTGTTGTTGTTGATGGAATTGGTGATGAAGGAGTTGAAGTTCTTGAGCTTCGGCGTGACAGAAGGTGCCGGTGAGACTGGGCGGCGTGGGCGGAAAGGCTTGTGGATCCGCTGGCGGTGCATTGGTGGGAGCAAGATGTTGGTGTAGCTGCAGCGCTTGTGGGCCTTTCAAACGTGGAGGAGCGGCAGAGCGTGTAGCTGGCGATGGAGAACGATAGGTGCGCCGGTGAAGGGGAGCGATCACGTCGACGAGCTCGATGACGACGATGGCGACTGCGTTCACGAGGATGACGCAAACGGTCTGGACTGCAGTCTCGGCCATGGTGACTGTGCGCACGATCATGAGAATGGACTCGGTCACGATCGCGATGGCGATCATGGGCGTGGTCTCGAGGATGGTCGCAAGCACGGTGGTGGTGTGAGAGGTTGTGCGTGGAGGAATGGTGGCAGGCGGTGTTATGTCGGAGTGAAAGGCGTTGGCGAGTAGAAAGAAGGGGCGCGCTGCTGGTGGAGCCAAACAGGGAAAGTGTGGCGGTGGGCGGGGTGGATCAGGTACGGCGCCAGTGGAGTCGAGAGGAGGTGGTGGCAGGGATGCCCAAGAGAAGGCAAGGAAAAAGGAAGGAAAGAAGGAAAAGTAAGAGGGAAAGAGGAGGCGAGTGCTCCCAGCTACGACACAGGCGTCCAGGGACACATCGTGGAGAGGGGTGGTTTGTTCCTGGGTGTTGGGTGAGGGAGCGGGGGGAGAGAGGAGGGGGAAGCATGAAACTAGGGTCTTGAACAAGCTTTGGTCGCGAGCCTGCACGTTATGGCATGCTTGAAAGCGGCCTACTCAGTTTCAATCATTCAGCAAGTCTTGGCGAAACTATAACATAAGCCTCCTGGACACCTCCGTTCCCAGGCCAAGGAACATAGACAAACCCCCGTTCGACGGGGCCACAGGCACTCTTCGAGCTCACCCTGGGCTGGCACAAGGGCCAGACACACTCCAACGCCACATTCCACGCGCCCACCTGGGTATGAAAGCCTAATGTTGGATGTTGAGTAGTAAACCGGTCTTCAAGAATGCTAAGACCGCATGATTGAAAAAAGTGGTCATGAGTAATGCTAATTTTTGGGGGGACCCTAATTTTTATATTGGACACCTAATAAGGGTTTGAATTCCTTCTGAACCCTGTCCACCTGCACTCCCCCCTCCCTTCCCAGGCAAGCAAATAAGAAAAGTTTTTCCATTGGAAAAATAGATCTGCTCATGGAATCTTCCTTTACTTAGCTCCTAAGGCCAATGATTATGATTCATTAGCTGATACAGGTTTCTCTAGGATTTCTTCACAACTGACAGCTTTCCAAACCCACCACTTCCTAATGCAATCCTTTATGTGAACATTGCTCCTAAACAAATGCAAATTTTCAAGGTAGTAGACCAGGAAGGCACCTGATCATCAATTGTGAAAAGTTTTTTCCACTGGAAAAATAGATCTGCTCATGGAATCTTCCTTTACTTAGCTCCTGAGGCCA